GTCCCCAGGGAAAAGCAATGTGCTTAGACAGATGATCTGATTTTATGAGCACATAGCTAAAGTCTAGCACTGAGCATTTGTCTTTATGCTCCTACTTTTTTCAGGGACTATGGAAACACATTTAGGTACTAGTTTCTTTCCAACAACGGACTGCAAAGTGTATGACAATATATAGCATATGCATTGCTGTTTTCATGATGCACATCAAAGTATAGATCACTTTCAGCATAGAATCTTAATCTGAGCTTGTTAATAAGAAAACAAGAACCTTAGTATATGAACTCATCTTATTATCTACCCTCACTAAGGACTGTGATTTGGATTCCACTCAAATATGAATTAGTTTAAATGTTGCTCTGCTGCGACTGTTGAATTTATTCATTATGCCATAATATTTTACTTATGAAACTGCATTTGGAAATTCTTTGGTGTACAGCAGGATGAAATTACAGTCCTAAGGGATATTGATTATTGCTTGTAATTGCCATCATAATAGCCAACAATTCTCTGTCTTTCTTTGCCTTTCTTCTACCTCTTAATGTTATATCAAACCAAATCAATATCCAACATATTGGGCCACTTATATTGTCTAAAAATCCAATTGTTCTTCTTCATAAATATGCAAAAGATTGACGATTTTATCCCTAGACATTGAATAAAAGAGCCCCATACTGCTGGGTTTCTCCTATATTCCATAGGAATGTATCAGAGTGTTGCTATGTAGGATCAGTAATATGTAAGCGACATTTTGTCACCTTCAAAGGAACCATGGGGCAAGGGGTGGGAAGGAAGGGCAGCTACTGTGCTGCCTTTAAAGTGCTACACTTCTTGCTCACTAGTAAATGAGATGGCCAAAGGGGAAAATATAGGCTGGGAGAGTTAATCAGACATTAAAAAAGAAATCCACCTCTTTATGGTATGGAGGAGATTATTTCAAAGCCTTAAAGAGGAACCACAATCAAATGGAAATAGCACAATGCTATGAGTGACTTATTCAATAAAATATATTTATTCTTATTGTTATTTATATACTATTTATCCACTCTGGGGATAAATTAGGTGCCTTTAGAGAGCAGCCACATATCTTTTAGCAATATCTCATCAACTAAAAGGGTAGCTTCTTTGTAATGCTTACCCATCCATCTAAAGTAGTTAAGATAGTCTTTAAAACTTACTGTAAGAACATATAACATACAGCAGAATAGACACATATTATGTAGTACTGTTTGAACAGATAGCATTTGTTGAGCCTGGGTCAGTTAACCCAGGTATTAGAACCTGTATGGGGCAATGGAAATAGACTATTTTGGAAGTCCAAGATTCCAGTGTCATCTATGCCATTGACTAGCTATATTATTTTTAGGTTAGTCATTTTCATTCTCTGAGTGTCAATTTCCCTGGGGGTCGTGGGCTACTAGATGATTTCTGAAGGTCCCTTCCAACTCTGTGATTCTGTAGCTATCATTCTCCTATTCTTGTCATTAGTCTAAAAGGGAACAGGGTAATAGTGTGGCTCAATTCAACATCATCTTTATACCAAATTCAACACAAAGCATGCTTCTTATGTGCCTTAACAGGTCTAAATTCCAATCTTTTTTAAGATTTTTAAAATTCATATATATTATTTCCTTTTTATTGTTGTTTTTTTTTTACATTTTTTAGTCAAGTAGAAGTATTTTCAACTACTGAATTCCAATCTTAATGTGTCTCACTAACTGCATAATGTTAGTATAGTGTACTGTAGTGTACTGGTTAAGAGCAGAGGTTCTGGAGCCAGACTGCCTGTGTTTGAAACTCATCTTCTTCCATTATTAATACTAGCTATGGGTCCATGGACAAGTTATTTAACCACTCTGTACTTTGGTTTTCTCATCTGTAAAATGGAGATACTGGTCGCAATAAGGTTGTTGTAAAGATTAAATAATACAGTTTGTGTGAAGTATTTAGAACAATGCCTAGCACAAGTAAGCACTCAATGTTACCTCTTATTAATGTTATGATAATTATTATCACCACTCTACTCCTACTAAACCTCTTTGGGTCTCAGCCTAGTAATCTGAAATATTAGGATAACAATATCAACCTTACAGACATATGAAGATCAAAATAATGTAGATAGCCGGGCGCGGTGGCTCACGCCTGTAATCCTAGCTCTCTGGGAGGCCGAGGGGGGCGGATTGCTCGAGGTCAGGAGTTCGAAACCAGCCTGAGCAAGAGCGAGACCCCGTCTCTACTATAAAATAGAAAGAAATTAATTGGCCAACTAATATATATACAAAAAATTAGCCGGGCATGGTGGCGAATGCCTGTAGTCCCAGCTACTCGGGAGGCTGAGGCAGGAGGATTGCTTGAGCCAGGAGTTTGAGGTTGCTGTGAGCTAGGCTGACGCCATGGCACTCACTCTAGCCTGGGCAACAAAGCGAGACTCTGTCTCAAAAAAAAAAAAAAAATAATGTAGATAAAGTGCCTAACTTTGTTCCTTCCCCTTCTAGGTGCTCAATAAATCATGTTTATTTAAATGGAATCAACTATTCCTGTGGTTAGTGTTATCCAGTGAATTTTTCCACCCCTCCCACACACCTACGATTTTTTTTTTATCTTAGTTACAAAATCGATACAAGCCTGAGACAAAAAAATTCATAAAATACCCCTACCATCCAAAGGTAACACAAATGATTATTTTTGCATAAAAATATAGACAATTTTTTCTTTGAAAAATTATATAGTATTGCCCATACTCCTTTGAAGCCTGCTTTTGTTTACTTGGTAATATCTGTAAACACTTTTCCTAGTGGATAGATATTCTTTTGCAACACAATTTATAATGATTTTATAGTATTATATGTTTATAAAATAATTTAATGAAATACCATTATTGGACATTCATGTGTTTATTTTTGCTATTCTATATAGCACTGCAATGAATGACTTCTTATGTACATTGTTATACACATCGTTTCCTGAGGGTAAATTTCTGTAAGCATAATTATTACCTCAAAGAATTATTAAAGTCTTTTGATACATAATGCCAAATTGTCCTTGAGAAGAACCTAAATCTACACCCCGTCAGCAACCCAGCCCTTTAAAAAATCTTTAACTTCATGATATTAAGGCAAAATTCTCTATTGTGGATATTTTTCATTAATTGGTATGTAGAGTTTTTTTAAAAATATACATGCTTTTGTTATTTAAATATGGACGCTAGAAATCAGTCTTAAAATAATAATTTATGCATTTGGGCATATGTTACATGTACAAGGTGATGTTGGCTTTTTGCTTGGTGGGGAGGTTTTGTGTTGTACATTAAAATGTAGCACTAGAATGTGTTTTGTTTAGCAGTGCATTTTACTACCCCAGGTAGTACAGTAGAATGAGTAAGATTACAAACTTTGGCTGATGGATATGCTAATTACTCTGATCTGATCACTAAAATTATATGTATCAAAACATCACTATGTACCCCATAAATATGTACAATCATTATATATCAATTAAAATTATTTTAAAAAGAAACAAAAGAGAAAAGAAAGGATTAAGACTTTGGAACTCCAATGACCTAGGTTCTGATTCAGGCTGTCATTCATTCACCTGCTAGCTAAATTTGGTTAAGTTGTTTAATCTCTTTAGGTCTCCATTTCCTTAAATGCATAATAAGGATAATAATATAGCATATGAGTGAAGACTTAACAAGGTACTAATGAGTATTCAGTACAATACTTGGTACTTAGCACTCAATGAGTATAAAGTATATACACAAAAACATACTTTCATTTATTTGTTTTTGGCAACTCCTTCCATGTGAATACATCACTACTGTTTATAAGAAGCCTGTATTAATAATAGTCATGAATGGTCAGCAGTCATCCCATAGTAAATCAAATATGACAGCAGCATGGCTCCCTTTGTATGGAGTTCTACAAGAGGCAAAATAAATGTATGGTGGGAAAAAATGCAGAATAGTGGTTGCCTCTGGGGGATGGGAATAGGGATTTACTTAGAAAAGGCAGGAGGGAATATTTGGGGATGATGAGACTGTTCTACATCTCAACAGGTTAGTCACTTTCATTCTCTGGGTCTCAATTTCCCTGAGGGAGTTGGGCTACTAGATGATTTCTGAAGGACTCTTCCAACTCTGTGATTCTGTAGCTATCATTCTCACATTCTTGTCATTAGTCTATGCATTTGTTTGCATAGGTGATTACATTTGTAAATTTCAGCAAATGTGCACTTAACATTATGCATTTAATTGTGAATAAATTGTACGTTAAAAATCTGTTAAAGATATCAAACTCTAGATAATAATATGCCAGCTGAAATATGTGAAGTTAAGTGTACTGATGTATGCAACATACTTCAAAATGCTTAAAAATAAAGATGGAGAAAGGAATGGAGAAATAGATAAATATGTGATAAAGTGAGTCTAGTCAAGTGTTAAGTGTGGAATCTAGTTGGTGAATATAGAAGTGTTTATTATAAAATTCTTTCATTTTGGTTGTATGCTTGATAATTTTAATAATAAAATGTTGAGTAAACATATGCCTATGAAAGCTAATCTCTAAAGTTTGGTAGTGAGGAAAATCTCAAACACTGGTATCCAGGCCACTCTAATTATTAAAATGCCTGATGATACATCTCTTTCTGTTTTGAAATCAGCTCTTGAGGATCATATTTAATGAAAGGGAGACGTGTAGTGTATAACATCAAATGTGGGATGTTAGCACTCACTAGCCAGCAAGTTAGGGAACACAGGACTCCTTTCTTCCTCTTAAAAGCCTAAATGAGAAAAGCTCTAAATGAGGAAAGAAAAAAGGAAGAAGAAAAGAAGAGAGAGAACACCAAGGACAGTTTAGAGTACCTCTTGGGTATATAAAAACTGTGTTGAGCCCTTCCCAGTTCCCCTGAACTTTGGCATAGCATGATTTGGGGAATTAATGGAGTTTGGGTTTTTGTAGCAACTGGCATTGGTTTTTATAGCCCAAACTTTTGTTTCCTTTTCGCAGGCATTTCCTGTTCAAACATGGATCTGGTTCCTCCGCTATCTTCAGTGCAGCCAGTCAGAACTACCCTTTGACGTCCAATACCGTGTACTCGCCCCCTCCCAGGCCCCTTCCTCGAAGCGCCTTTTCCAGGCCCGCCTTTACCTTTCACAAACCTTACAGATGCTGCAACTGGAAGTGCACAGCATTGAGCGCCACTGCAATCACAGTGACTTTGGCCTTGTTACTAGCCTATGTGATTGGTAAGCCCTTTTTTCATGCCTCAGTTTTCTTCTTAATCAAAGTCTTGTTTTGCTTGTGGTGGGAATGGCGGTTTCTCTCTCAACGTTGGGATGTACAAATTTGGACCAAGGCTTAGCATTATAAATAACAAATGGATTTCTAATTAGATTTTTTTTCACTTCCTAACCTTAAATACTGCTGAGGAGAGTAAGAAATGCTCTTTGGGAAGAAATATTTATACTACTAACACAGCCTTATTGATTGCAATTACTGTAGTTAACCATTTTCCCTTCAATTAAAAGGTTGTTATGGTTTTCTCATTAGAAGTCATAAGTACCAGTCTGCTATAGCTTCTTAAATTATAGTTAAACAATAATACTACTACCGAATTTTCAGGTAGCAGTTTCATTAAAGCAGTAGTTATATGGAAGGTATCAGAAAATTCAGTGCATAATTTCTTCCCAAGAATTCAGATTTTTACACCGTGACCAAAAACTATATTCTTATTTCACTAGGTAAATGGCTGCAAAATTGTGTGCTGTGCTTACTATGTTGGGAAGGTAAAGCAGAAAATGGTCACAAGGAACTCCTTCCACTTTTAAGAAAAAAATATTGTTGTTGTGCTTGAGTCACCCTGATTAAAGTCACCCTCATTTGATAGAAAATTGTATTGATTTTTCTGGGTGGTATTTTATTTTGACTGAATATTAATTTCTTTGCTTGAGTGGTTTTACAGTCTAAAATGAAAATTAACTTAAACATGTATTTTGTGGAAGCACGATTTCTAGGATGAATAGATTGTGGTAGAAAACAAATTCTATCCAGGTATGTCACTGGTAACTTCTTTTCAGGTTTAACCCAGTTTCCTAGCTGAAGCAGAATTACGCACTATATGATTTTGAGAGGTAGATAAAAAGAGATTTAGACTTTCTTATAGTTGTAATAAGTATATTTAGTTGATTCCCATTTATCCAAAATGTGAACAATAAGAAAGTTCACATAACAAGTTTATGTGAGAGTCATAGAACAAGGGGTGGTAAGTAAATAAACAGATATATTTTGTAGGGAAGCCACTAATGATGTAAACAGTGTAGAATCATAGCCTATGCTGATGTTCATGATTCTATCTTATATTTTCATCTCGCAATCTGAATATATATGAACAATGCTTCTAGTAAACATGTGCGATATTACCCTATAATATCAAAAAATGTGTCTCTTATCTCAGCCATTTCAGGATAACCCAACATGTGTATTTATTTGGTTTGCAATAAACTGTAATGAGAAATATTAGTGAAGGGATGGAGGTGGGAGATGAGAAAGTACTGCAACTCAAACATAATTTTAATATGAAATCATTCAAACGAAGAAATAATTTGAGAAGTTTAAATACTTCAAAGGCCCTTTCAAATGTTTTTGTTCAATTATGAAACAGATTCTTATTTTATAGATTATTTTCTATTAACTTTTGCTGTTTAGAGAGATAATGTTTTAGATATAAGATTTAACTCCTGGTATAAACAAATCCATATAACCCAAGCTCTTTATTAATAGGTTTATACTATGTTCGAAACTATATTTCTATTTAAATTTATTATGATGGCCACTGCTATATCAATTTATCATATATTCTGAGACTTCTTTAGGTTATATATTTATTCATCTTATAAGTGAAAGTAGAACATTTCAGCTATTGAAAGTACTGCCTTTTTATAGGGTAAACAGTGGCATATTAATTTGGCATGGCAGTAAGACAATATAGTACAGTAGTTACAAGCATGGATTTTCAGATCCCTGCCACTTATTAGTCACCTTAGTCAAACTACTTAACTTTTTCAGGCCTCCATTTCCTCATCTATAAAATGGGATTAAAATAGAACTTATAACATAGGGTTGTTTTGATAATTAAAAGAGTTACCATAACTAAAGCACTTGGAATAGTGCCTAAAATATAGCAAGTAGCTTATAAATGGTAAATATTATCATTACTATTACCATTAGTATCATTTTATTATTCAGTTTTAAAATTCACTAGTTCCCAGAATTAACCATTTTGTTCATGTCTGTATTCCAACACCAAAAACAGTGCCTGGCACATAGCAACCCTGACAGTAAACATTTGCTGAAAAACTGAGTTATGCTAAGCACTTTACTTATATTAGCTCATTTAATTCTAATGAAAGTCCTTAGGGTAGGAATGAGTATTATATGTATTTTATAAATGAGGACACTGAGGTACAGCAACTTTAAGAGGCTACCTAGAGATCCCATTGAGATTAAGAGGTCGCATCACTAACAAGTGAGGATCCTGAGCTTCAAGCCAGAGCTGACTATCTCCAGAGCACATAGTCTTGAGTGCTAGGCCTTGCTGCCTTTCTTGCACTGAAGTAAACTTTACAGCTCGTTTACTTCTCAGTCTACTAAATAAATCTGCCAAACCTTTTATTTCTTATTTAAATTATAAATTCAATTAGATATACCAGGTCATCTCTTGCACTGGTGATGAGTGAAACTAAGGTTGCTTGATTGGTGAGAGATTATCTGTTGAAATCATTTATTGGGAGATTTTTTTAGATACAGAAATATCAGGCTAAATCCTGGCACAGTATGTTGAATGGGTTCAATGTGATGAGATGTTTATGGCAAACACTGTAACTTTGTTCCTGGTTCTGTCATGAAGTGGACATTTTGTGACTTTGGATAAATCAGTAAAAATCTTTTCTTTGATTTATCCCATCTGTGCCATATTGGTGATCTCAGGAGGGTAGAGTAAAAACTCATAAATAGGCATTCAGGTGAAAGATGCCACATAAGAACTGTAATATACAAGATGATTTTTAAATGGCTTTCTGTGTTTGAAATAAAAAAGTATTATATTTCAAAATATGAAACCATTTCACTCTTGACTGTTGCTGAGTCTATAAGAGTCGTTTTTTTTTCCAATCCCCCTTTGCAGTTGCTATATAACCCAAGTAAAATCTTTCACTGAAACGACTTACTGCTTCTGTTTCCCGTGCAAATTCCTTTCTGCTATTTCATTTTCCTCTATTATCCATTATACATAACCTTTAGATACTAATGGCTGCATGCTGTGCTGCCCTCAATCCACTAGGGGAAATCATATCAATATCAATGGGACATCAGTAGACATTCTGTGCATTATGGCTCTGTAAGTGGTCATTGGAAAGCAGTGGAAATCCAGCACATGAAAAACCAGAGCGGGGTTGTTCAGCCAACCAGCTCCATCCCCACACCTACCCACTATGGGTCAGAAAGAAAATAATTCGTTTGAAAAAGTTTTGAGGTCATAAAATTTGCTGAAGAGAGGCATGGAAAGATACTGATTATATGAAGATATCATGGAATGGCTATTGTCATCACTTCCCCATAAATCTGTAATATTTTCCATCTGAATCAAAAAATATGTCCTTAGGCTTCATCCTCTCTGAGATTTTGGCATCAGTGATGTATCAGTGCCAGTCAGAAGCACATTTGTTTGAATTTACAAATAAGCCATATGAAGTAGTAGTCAGGAAGACAGATGACCATATGCAAGGCATCAAGGGAAGGCGAGGTTAAGGTACTTCATCAATGGTTGTGAAGGGCACAAACACAGCTTCTCTGGCAATCTTTGATGTTTTGATCAAGTTTTTCTACAGTCAGCAGTTTGTATAAGAGGCAACAGAAACTCTCAGGCAGTAGAAATTTATAGGAATACATTGTGCCTGGGATCAAATGGGCTGTTGCATTGAATAAGTAGAGGAGTAGGGTTTCTGCTCTCAGACCCAATATCATTAGTAAATGACATGGATGATCCTTTCCTGTTGCCATGAAATTAGAAGCAATTAATACCACCTTCAGGAGATTTAGGTAGCATTCAAAACTCTACATGTGAAATAATTTCAGTCTGTAAATCTTGCCATGCCATCCTATATGGCCCGCATGTAGAGAGTTGACCAGAATGGGTATTAACAATACAGAACTAGAAGAGACAGAATATTGAGCACAGTTCTGTGATCCAAAGTTTAGGGATGAAACTTTTCAAGAGGGCGAAGGTCTTAATTCATTCACATCGTTCTCTGCACCAAAATTGAGTAACACTGATTTTAGTGCTTTCTTCTGCCCCCTTTATACTGGCCCAAATTGCCATACTCTCTGGGCTATTATTACAGTGGAGTTAGAGAGTATGGAAAATAATAGAAGGAGAAAAGTAGAGTGTGTTCAATTTTCCCTCCTCACAAAGAAAATGCAAATACCTCACTCTACAGGGAAGAAATAAAATAAAATATGGCATGTTCTGATTTTGGAAAATTTAAGAACCTAGATTTTTTTAAACAAGATAGAAATGGAGTTTTCCCCATTAAGTCTAAATAAACAGTGCCCCACAGAATTGTAAATATGCTTATCAAAACCCAGTTCTTTCACTTACAGAACTAGCAACTTCATTAATGTCTCTGTGCCTAAGTTTCCTCATCTATAAAATGGGAATGTTGATAATACCTTATTCAAGGGTTTTCTTTATAATTAAATGATTTGAAGCTTATAAAACACCCAGGACATTGCTTAGCAGATTGGCAATTATTATTAGTGGAACAGGATTATTATGAAGATTATTAATTTAAGCTGAGGTAAGCATAATGAGCATACAATTTATCCCAACATGAACAGCTTTTGTTTCCCTTCTTTCCAAAGTCATCTAAAACAATTTTTCAAACCTTCAATGTCTGTCTCATAAGAATCCTCTAATGAGTTTGTTGTTTGCCTCTGCCTGGTCTCAAATAGCTGTCATTTTGCCTTTATTCTACTAATTTCCCTCTTCTGTGGTGTTTTGACCCTTCAGATGGTTTCGCATTTGTATCTGAAGGCCATATCTAGGTTGAAACACATTTTCATTAAAATGCATTGTAGCTTATAACATTCAAGAAATGACTCAGCATAAAATGCTAAAAAGCATTTTTACATTATCCTATAGACCATTATCAATCCTTTGGGTGTCATGCTTAATATTTATTACTTCTTC